CCACTCCTGCACCATACCTCCCATCCAGAACCCCCCCACCCTCCACCCACTCCTGCACCATACCTCCCAGCCAGCCCCACCCCCCACCTTCTGCCTGCTCCTGCACCATACCTCCTGGCCAGATCCCCACCCTCAACCCCTCCTGAACGCATTTTGTCCTCATGGGTGGTTAATTGGTGGTCCGCAGAAAGGTCTGCATTGAGTAGGGTGGGCTGCAGGCCAAAAAGTTTGAGAACCACTGCTCTAGGATTAGTATGACTGACAGAGATTAAAGGAAAAATGTGAGCTGGCTTACTTTGTGCCTTTGAGAGCCGCGTGTGTATCGTTAGTTTCACTGTTTGCCCATAGAGTTAATCAGATTGCCCTGCTGTTTTGGCTGCGCCTTTCCCAAGGGACCAGAGGAGACAGAGACAATTTTAAAAGCAGGCCGATGCAGAGCCGTCTTGCAGTTACCCACATATGAACAGCCTCTGCCCCCAGAGGGAACTCCATCGGAGACAGGGAGGTTGTGCACAGGGAGGCAGGGTTTTGCCCACGCACATGCCGTTGCCAGAATTGGGCCTGTGGCTGCAAAATCATCACAACAGGGGGACTCTGAAAAATGCTGAAACTGCATGGACCCCCTTTTAAGAAATTGGCTCGCTCTCAAGCCGGCGGTGCCCTTTCACCTCGGGAAACGTATTCTTGGTTTCCTTTCTTGCACGCAATCATGTCCACTGTCAGCCATGTACAAGCCGCCGGGGTGCTCAAAGCCAGCAGCGAGAGAGCGAAGGGTTTCAATGCTGGGTTTTAAAAGGTTTCCCGGGAGAAGGCAGACTGGCGTTTGGTGTAAAGGTCGCAGACTTCTGAGGGGTCCCGGAAGGCCTGGTGTCTAATGCCACCATCTTGCTCAAAGGAGCAGCTCACGTCCCCAGTGGGCCCCGAGGCCCTAATCGCTTGTCTGAAGGTCACCGTTTGCTCTGAACGGGATTTGGCCGGGCAGGGGAAGGGAGGCGCGCGCCCTGCTGGGAAGCCGGGGACGCCGCGCCTGCCGAATAAGGAACAACAAGTGGCCCCGGTTGAAAGGAACAGACTGGAAGGTGCCCGGTCGCCATGGCGACGCGGCCGTGCTTTCTGAGCAGCGGGCTTTTCTTTCCCTTTTCACCTGCCAATCTTTCCCCCGCTGTAACTCTCTGCCTCCGCAAGAGACAAGCTGTGACATTTACACTCCCACTAACAAGCTGGCTGCATGATGGGCAGACTCCTCGGGAGAGCATCTGTTCTGAAGCGGAGTCACAAAGCCCAAATGGCGAGGCCGGGCGGTTCAGTGAGGGGGCTAGGACCTCGCTGGCTGCCGGTGGAGGCTGGGGGCCTTTCTTTCTGGTATTAGTAATGTGATTGAGTGAGGAGCCTGCTCTGAAAAGCCCCCTGGCCGGGCAAGCATTATTTCAGGCCCTCAGCGAGCCTGGTACCTCTTATCTACTGGGAAGGCATTGCAGCTGCAAGACAATAGTCACACGCTTTCTGCTTAGAAACCCAGGCCTTCCTGTCCAGGGAAGAAAAGGAGTAAACGCAAAGAAGCAGACAGACACCGTTGGAGCAATTTCCTTTCTAAGCCGGGATCCTGACAGCCGGCTTTGTGAGACGCACGCTGTGTGCTTCCAGTGTTCCTCCTGACTCAGCTGCGGCCAGCCTTCATCCGTAATGCTGTTCTTTCGGGACTGTAATACTAGGGTGGTCGGAGTGAAATGTAGGCAGATACCCCCAGGGTTGGCAGCTGCTCTCCCCAGCTGAAGAGGGGCGGTCCCTGGACTTCTCCAGCTGTCAGGGATGAGGCGGGAGTGACTTTCAGTTCATTCAATTTGCAGTGTTCAAATAACTCAGAAGAAAACAAGCAGCAGGTGTGAAAGATTTGCACAGCAAAGTGACTGTGGTGGAGGTGCTATCTTTGGCTGGCTAGCTTGAAACCTGCCCCCAGGACTGGGCATTAAACCAGACCAAAAGATTCCTAGCTAGCGTAAGACAGATAGAGGAATTTGTAAATAGGAGCATGATTGTCCATCTGTCAGGTCCCACTCCCATTAAAGCCAATGGAAAGACTCCTCCCATGTGAATACAGCCACGAAGATGGAGGGGAAATGAAAGGATACTGTGGCAAGAAATGGAAGCCCGGAATGACAAAGAGAGCAAAAAGTTGAGGAAGCTGCTTAGCTCATCTCAGTGCCTCTGTCTGGCAAGGGAACACCCTTTAGAGTATACCTTTAGGGAGATGAGTGATGTGACAGGCTCCAACCTTGGAAGCTATTGATGGGCCCACTTAAATCTCAAGTGAGTCTGGATGCTCTCTTTCTAAAAAGCCCTGTTTGCTTTCAAGAACGCCTTTTTTCGAAAGAGCACTTTCGCAAAAAGGCGTTCTTCCTCGTGAAATGAGGTTTACCGCCGTCGAAAGAAAAGCTGCATTCTTTCGATTTAATTTCGAAAGAACGCAGCTGCAGTCTAGACGCAGGTGAAGTTTTTTCGAAAAAAGGCTACTTTTCCCAAAAAAAACCCTGCGTCTGGACACAGCCTTAGAGAGTTCAAGAGGCTCTTAAATGTGACCCCAGGTTCTCTTCAGAGAACAAAACACAGTCAAGATTGCGGGGAGGTGTAAAGAGAGACCACAGAATAATTCCTGATGAATCAGAGATCCTGGGTCCAGGAAGAGATGCAAGGCTACGCAGGAGAGGCGCTTCTGGAGAACACCTGATGGCAGTTCTGTGGCCACAACACACACCGCACAGTGGTGGTCCTGCTTTAAAGACTCTGGGGTTAATTGAAAAGAAGTCAAAGACTTGTCCATCCATCTAGATTCTATGCACAGTTGGCATCTATTATTCTAACGGAGCAGCACTTCCATCTTCCGGCTGCAGGGCTCCGGTGTGGGAAGTTACATCAGCACCCCGCAATCCATACATGTTCCAAAGGGAGCCCCATAATGCTCTAAGAGGATATTAAACAAAGGGATCCTGTTTACTGAACTGCACAGCAGGGTAGAGCTGGTCAGGGCATGCTCTGTAAGTATTTCCCGTGGATAATTTTTTGTAAAGGGTTTCTTTTTATTTCCTGAATTTTTTTCATTGAAATGTTTCCAGTTTTTCAACAAAACAACACAAAAACGGCTTTTTGGAAACCAAAACCAACTGATGACCAAATTTTCCTCGGTATTTGAAAAGGGAGTACATTCCTTTATTTCTGTATTCTCGTTGGTCACATGGGGCAGAGTGTTTCAAAAGGAACAAAACAGAACATTTTCATATTGAAGTAAAAGGCTGGTTTTCAACCCAAGAACCTCCTCCAGCTCCAAGAATTCTGGGGACTTTCTAAGGTGCTCTGAGTTAATAAACACTTATTCACATACAAGGCGGTTGCAGTGCCTACCTAGAGCCCCCATGTGCATGACTGGGAATTCCTGTATGGCCACCGAATTATTGAATCCTGCAGGCCTTTTTAGTGCTTGCATAATTTGGGCACTTATCTGTGAATACCCATTTGTATCTTTTTGACCACAGGTTCCTCCCCGCATCCTCCCTCCCCCCAGCTGAAAGGGCCTTTCAAAGATTCAGTAGCTGCTGTTGCTTAGAAATGAGACTTAGAACTCTTCATAGGCCATGAACTACAACAAAAGGAGCTCCCCAGTCATAGCATCCTAGCACTAGAAAAGACCTTGACTAAGTCCCACCCCTGCCCAAAGCAGGACCAACCATTGTTTCACAGGAGCCAGATTTGTCGGAGTTCCAGGTCAGCATCATGAAACAACCGAGCTGATGGAGGCTGCATCTGAGTGACGCTCTGCTCCTCCTCCCAGCAATTAATGCCAGCATTCATAAATGCTCCCTGTTAACTGCTTGGATCACTGAGAAGCAACACACAGACTCTACCTTCCTGCCCAGCAGTGACACACACAGCCCAGGACAGCTGACTGACCAAGCGCCATCAGTCTAGTCCTGACCAGCCACATGGCAGAATGGAGACTAAACGCCATGCCTCCAGCATTCCTTAATAATGAACAAGTGTCTAGTTGATATCACAGAACAGTAATTAGCACTTAGCAGGAAGGTCTATTAAACTGTTAACCGAAGGATGGGAATGTGGATTAGATGAATGAGCAGGAGACTCGGAACTTCTTCAATGCTAGGAACTTGTTATGTGGCCTGGGTACATCTCTGCAGTCCACATTCGGCTCTGGTGCAAGTGGAGGCAATTCTGTTAGCTTCAGTAGGAGTGCATATAGAATCATAGAACAGCAGAACCGGAAGGGACCTCGAGAGGTCATCGAGTCCAGTCCCCTGCCCTCAAGGCAGGACCAAGCACCATCTAGATCATCCCTGACAGGTGTCTGTCTAACCTGCTCTTCCATATCTCCAGTGATGGAGTTTCCACAACACCATAGACAATTTATTTCAGTGTTTAACCACCCTGACAAGCAGGACATTTTTCCTGTGTGAGAAGTCAAACGGATGCTAGCACCAGAACTGAATCTGGCACTCTGGGACTCAGTTTCTCCATCTGTAAAATGAGGCAATATGATACTTGTCTCCTAACCAAGACTGCCATGGGGATTAATTAGACAGCATTTGTCACCTGTAAAATACAAGTAATTACAATCAATAACCCCATTCATGCAGAATCCAATAATTAAGTTACACATGCATCTCAGTTACCCATGCAATAGCTGCCTTTTAAATAGAAATCAAACTCAGTTGTGAGGACTGCTCATCTGCCGTGTCACTTCAACCTGAATAGTGTAGTGAGAAATAATAATAATAATTAAAAAAAATAAAGTCATCTCAACATGTTGCTCGGCAACAGAAGTTGCGGGGGAAACCATCTAGGACTAAAGGAACAAGCATTTCCAAGAGAACGGGTAATTTAGGAGCAACATCAGGGACAAGCAAATGTCACAAGCACAGAGATTTTTTTTTCTTTTAACCAATCATTTAAGCTAGGCATTTGGGGGTAAATAAGAGTTTTAAGTCTGATGATTGAAAAGCAGAACCCAAACCTTTACACAGAGCTGGATTGCTGGAGAAATGTTTATTCGTTTGTGTGAGGGAAACATTAGATTGAAAGGAAATTGAAACACCAATTGAAAAATGCTCTTAGAAATGTCATGCCTGTGTTTAAAGAGGGATGTGGTGACATGCCAGTGTTACTGAATGTACTGTGCCTCTTACAGAGCAACCTCATATTCATTTGGTCGTTCCCCCTCCCACATGTCCCATCCCCTTTTCCTTTCTTTTTAGGACAAGACAAGTGCTCTGAGTCTCAGCAACGTGGCCGGGGTGTTCTATATCCTGATCGGAGGTCTTGGACTAGCCATGCTGGTTGCCTTAATCGAGTTTTGTTACAAGTCCAGAAGTGAATCAAAGCGGATGAAGGTGGCAACACATTCTCAGGCCTTTTACACCTCTCTGACACCACCCAGGCGCCTAAGCCGGATGCAGCCCAGACCCGGGGTGGAAACCCATATTATAGGGATGATGATGTGACTCCGGTAGTTGATGTGTTTTGAAAGGAAAGAATGAGACTAAATGTTGAGAGCTAGCTAATATGAACACACGAGGTATTTGACAATCAGATCAGATCTGCGTGTAATGCAAATTCAGACTTCACATACAAACCAAAGCCCTCGCATGAATGACCATAGAAATGTACCGCAATTCCTTACTGGCAAGCATCAAGGAAACAAAGACTAGCTCTTCGTGGCTGCCAGTTGTTGGGCTAATACACTACTGCCTTTAGTTCAGTTTCACACCAGTGTAAATCCATGCAAGAAATGGAGTTGCACCACAATAAAAATGGAGTAACATAATATAATTATAGGACCTGATTCGATACTAAGTGTTACTGTGCTAATGCTATTTATATTTCAGCAATAATGGTTGATGCTTTGAGCATTTGCTCTGCCTTATTGCTGGACCAATTCCTAGATCGTAGATCTCAGGTAAAACAGAGTACTACTAATTCTGTGAGCACCATTTTCCCAGGAAATGTGCTGAGACCTTAGCAATATACACCCAAATTTTCTGAATGCATTTGGAGGTTTGAAGATATCGTTTTTAATAAACAGGACCTTTCCCCCACATGGTACTGTTGTCCTTTCAATGTGCCATGGCAGACAGCAGATGGCATTATAGTAGAGACATCTGGGTAGTTTAATGACCTGTGGAATGAGTTCATTTTGAGAACTAAGGAAAGTGGTGTGACTTACTGTTTATGGGTAAAAGTTTGGCATTAGTTGTGCCCTCCAAAAACAATCTATCCCTATATCCTCCACCTTGACCCCTCCAGAGAGCTTGGAAGCCAGTCAGAACGTAACACTAAGGCATTTAGATTACAGCTAACAAATGCTATCATATTCTCACTTCCATGAGCATTATAATTGTCCTGGAACTGAAAAATTCGTACATGATCATTTCTTCAGTTTACATGTTTCTATTTCAGCATTGTTATTGTTTCATCAATGATGATAACAAACTTAGCTCAAAATGTGAAATATCTCTTTCCCCGCTAAGATTTAAAATAAGCACCGAATCAATGAGATTGGGGGAAAGGTAAAGGAAGCATAGGAGTTGTGATTTAACATACCATTAAGGCCATGTGAACGCTACGTGGAAGATCGACGCTGCTGCAGTCGATCTTCTGGGGTTCGAATTAGCATGTCTAGTGAAGACCTGCTAATTCAAACATTGGCTCCAGTAGTCCTGCTCTTCACGAGGAGTGAGGAAAGTTAACGGGAGCATTTGCTCTTGTCAACTTCCCGCTGTATGGACGATGCCAAAATGCAATTTAAGATACGTTGACTCTAGCTATGTAATTAACATAGCTGGAGTTGCATATCTTAAGTTGACTTTCCCCTATAGTATACACCCAGCCAAAAATGGCTGAATCTAATACAGAACCTTACTCCAAAATAACTATTCCAGAATAGCTATTTCAATACATTTCCAAGCATAGATGACCTTAGACTTTGTCTAGACTGGGAAAATGAAATTAGATTTCCTAGCACATCTCATTTTTCTAGTGTAGACAAAGCCTTATGCATAGTCATAACTTTACTCATATGAACGAGTAGCTTTGTGGCACCCTAAAGACTAAAAAAAATACATAGGATCATGAACTTTTCTGGGTAAAACCCACTTCATCTGATGGGTTGGGTAAATAACAGAATCCAAGATATAGATATATAACAGCAAAAGAAGTACCTGTCAATTGTAGGACCCAGGTTAAAGAGGCTAATTAAATGGGCTGGATGTGTCATAACTTTGATGTGAAAATGTGGACAGTAAAGGCAGGGGAAATTGTCTTTCTTTTGCTGTTATATATATCTTGGTTTCTGTTATTTCCACTCCAATTCATCTGATGAAGTGGATTTTGCCCATGAAAGCTCATGATTCTATACATTTCTGTTAGTCTCTAAGGTGCCACAGAACTACTCGTTTTTAAAGTTCCAGGCTAACATGGCCACTTCGCTGAGCCTTTTTTACTCATATGAGAAAGCCTTGAGTGTTTGCAAGTTCAGGGTCTTACAGGTCACTGTATTTAAACAATTATTCCCTTACCTTGTCGATAGATGGAGAACTTTCTGCACGACACGTGTGCCCTATATCTCAAGGTGTTAAGGAATTGTTTCATTTGGAACACAGAAGAGTTGTAAGCAAATAAAATAGGTACAATACTGAACTGCAGAAAAGCAAGAGCTCTGCTAGAGTTAGGAAAGGAAGGAAAGATAAAGACTAACAAAATAAGAGTATTTCATATTGCAACTTTCCAGCCATTGCTAAGGACAGGGGGAGACCCCCCCGTCCCTCCTAAAAAGGGTTTTTGTTTGATCCCACAGCAATCAATCAATGAAGCCATAAGGACAGCAACCCTTCCCAGGCCGGCTACCGCAGGAGGCAGCGGAGAAAATGGACGGGTGGTCAGCCATGATTTCCCCAAATCCATGCAGGCGATTCCATGCATGAGTCACAGCACTGGGATGTCCCTGGGAGCTACCGGATTATAATCGGCTGTGATACATCGCCTGGGTGAGAGCAGGGTCTTGCCAGCCCCACCCCTCCAGTGCCAAAACCAAACCCCAGGGCAAGAAAAACAACAATGACAAAAAAGGACAATTGGAAGGATCTTCCTGCAGAAATCAAATCTATTTTCTTTTTTGTTTGATTGTTTTCTGATAGATCCACAGGCAGGAGAACAATAGCAGTCTGTACTGCGCTAAGGACAGGGGCAAAGAATTTCGGCAGGTTCCTGGACCATCCCGGAACACAGAATCACTGGGACCCTGATGAGGACTGTACCATTTTGTTTTAACTTGGTCGTCAATAAGTCTTAGTGCGTGCAATATATATATATATATTTTTTCTTACCAATTCCCCTGGTGTCAGGGCGACATCGTCTCTCTCCCTTCCCCACTCAGCCCTTTAATCAGGTTTAATGTGGGATGCAAACCATAATGTCTGAGCTACTAATAACGAGAGGAAAATAAAATAAACGGTAAACCTAACTCACTGGGAGTGTCAGCCCGTAATCCTTTGATTCATCATGACTCTGCCGTCTGTTGCTTCATCTCTCGGCTCTCCCGGAAAAAGTAAGGACTTTAGGGATAAGAAAATAATTGAAACAGCAACAAACATTGACTTTGGCAGAGAAGGAGACAGGAAGTGGCTGGCTGGTGACGCTTGCTGAAAGTTGCAGCTGGAGGTGGGAAAGAGCCGGCATAACCCAAGGTCAATGTCATAATTATTTTTGAGATGATCAATGGGGGTTCTAGGGAAAGCTGCTCTGAACTTGGGGTATGAATCCGTACCAGTCCCTGGAAAGGGGAAACCACACATGCATCCGGCTAGATCAGACAAGTCAGCAATGGACTATGATCATGGCAGATGACTGCGTATGGGAGAGATAAAGCAAATATAACATCCATCCTACCCCCCTGCCTACGTTATCTGGGGTTAATAGGCAATAGCCAACCGTTTCTTCATTGTTACGCTTCTGTACATGCTCCCTTTGATGATGGAACCACCCTGAGCCTGTGGAGTTAACCATTTACAAAGCAACCAGACCGCCTGCTCACAAGGAAAATGGAACTAGAAATGGAGGCGTTATGCTGGGGACATTCCCGCTGTTAGGGCTATGAAATTCCCTTCTGGCCAGGTGTGAATAAAAAGGGGATCTTTCCTGGTTAACCAGCCAAGCCAGATCTCACATAATCAAGCAAACGAGGTAGACCTCCTTCATGAGCTTGGCAGACTTCTGTAGTATTTCCGTGAAGGTGGGCCCAGCTTCAGAAATCAGCTCCTGTCTGGGCCCATTGGTGGCAAAGCCAACGGCAGTGGATTCTGGGCCATTCATCCTCAACAAGCAAGGGGAACTCACACGTGGCCAGCTAGCTACAGAAAAGTCTGTCTGTGATCCAAAATCCAGTGTTGCAACTACTGGAAATGAAACGGCAAAATCCACAGTGCAAGACATGCAGCAGGGGATCCGGCTGCTGGCAATGTTTCCCCAGTGTCAGTGTTCCCTGCAAGCTAAGAACTTGGGCGGCCACCCAGGAGAGATTTAAATGCTGTCCATGCTGTCCAGCTAATGAGAAGAGTGCCACAGCCAACAGCATGTGTTTCTACTGGTGGTGCCCATCTGTAACTGCCGCAGTGCACATAACAAAATTTATTTCACACACGGATGGAAAAAAAATTAGAGGGAACGCTGCCGGTGTATCTGATGTTTTGTTTGTTTTTTGGCTACAGTATTTTCATTTTCATGGACAGTGGAATGCTTTTTGTTGGGGAACTGGGAGGGGGCCTCCCCAAAAGCAAGTTATGGACCTTTTAGAAAGATCAAAGATCTGTCAAACAGGAACCCTTCCCACCCTGTTCCTCTCCTCACACTTCCACTGCCTGTGTCTGGACAGTAACTTCAGACTTTCTAAGGTTTAAAGTTTCTTCCAAAAGCCAGTGAGACCCCTACACAGCCAAAAAAGGGCTGTCACCAGAGGCTCTCAGACGGGCTGTATTTGTAAAGTTACAGAGATGGCAATGTGGCAAGCAGAGAACCTGGGGGCGTGGGGAGGACAGGTGGAGGAGAGAATTTGATGAGAAGGTGACAGGCAAATAATATGAACAGCAATGTGATGAAGATTTCCCTGCGTGGTTTTTCCTAAGCACGACAGGCTGCAAACCAGTCTCCATTAGCGCATGATTCATGGTGCCGTGCTGTATGTCAGCCAACTCTAGCGACAGACCTGCTCTGAACTGTGCTTTGCCATTTGTCTCTTTGCTACCCATCTCTTGTCTCTGACTCTGCTCCTCCTAGGATCATCCTCATGAGGCTGGCAAGTCAAAAACTCAAGGACCCTAACTAGGGCACAGCATGTCTTGTGCCCTGGCATGTTCCCTCTCTGCCAGTGGAAACCCTTGTAGTCTCCATCTTTCATCCAGCGCTTTCATCAGCCACTCAAAATAACTCTTCAAGGGCAACTTCTCTGTGCTTTTTATTATTATTTTAGCCACCTCTTTTTTTTTCTCAGTTCTGTACTCATGCAGGAGTGGAGCAGGCACTGAAGATGCTTTCTTGCTTCTGTCCCAGAGCTCTTCAGGGAAAATCTGCGGCCTGATTCTTTGCTGGTCCCAGAACCTTTCCGAACCCAGTTATTTCGCCACCTCAAATTGCACTGAGAGCAGGCTGCAGAGATTCCCGTACCTGCGGCATTGGAAATAAGCCCCGTCCACCTTCAAAGACCCCTCTGCCTTTGTGGCAGGAAATCAAAGAAGCTCTGTCCAACAATTGAAACAGCCGGTTAGATGGCCCGCTAGGAACAAACTTTCTGTGAGAGGACTGAATGCCTGTGACAATAAGACAGGAGACTCAATCTTAGAATGCTTTTGATCAATGGAGGGGTGGAAAAAGGAATGAGACAAAAGCGTGGGAAAAAATGTTACCTTGTAATATGTATTTTTACTACACTTTTCTTAAAAATAGAATAATGGGAAAACTCTTAAAGACATTGACATTTTTTTCTCAACAGGAATCCATATTTAACAGTTTCGGCTTTCATTAAATTTTGCTCTTTGGTACCTGGATCTTTTATTTAACCGCTATCTTTGTTTTAGCTCGCTTTCTTGGTAGAAACTGCAAAGTGATTTTGCTTCATCAAACATTTTTTTGTTTTGTGTTCTTTTGCAAAAGGTGCATTTAATTGGATTGGATTGGATTGGATTTACAAAAAAAAATGAAAACTATCATCTGGAATTTACATACTGAGATTCCGTGGTCCACTTTTCATAGCTGTCCATGCCGTTTGTGCCAGTGCTGGATTTGCAATATGAAAATGCTGTGATTCCAGAGGCAATCTTACCCAGCCTGAATCAAAAAAGGAAAAGAATTCCTTGATTTTTGCTGTGCCTATCTTGTGAACAGCAGCCAAATAAACTGCTTCAGGTTCAAATTGGGAATCTATCAAATATTTTCCTAAAAGATTAAATAAAAAATATCATTTGTGGTGGTTGAGAGGGGTTGGGGGAATCTGAGGATTTTCTTGTTTGTTTGAAGTTTGGGGGGGAATGGGTACAGAATAGTACCGTATTTTCCGGCGTATAAGACGACTTTTTATGCTAAAAAACATCCCCCAAAAATCGGGGGTCGTCTTATACGCCGGGTATACAGGCAGTCCCCGACTTGCAGGTTCGAACGGGGCTTTTCTCGCCCCGGAGGACACAGACTGCGGGACCTCGCGGTCCCGCCGCCCGTGTACTCCGGGGCGAGAAAAGCTGCTCCACATCTCCCTGGTCTGCAGGAATGAGGAGGTCGGGGA